TTTAGTGTTAAGTTCAGGATTTTTTTAAAAAAAATTAACTTTCTTTTCATTATTATAGTTGTCATAGCTACTGTACAGCCATTGCATGTTTGCATATTTCCTGTGCCCTAAACTGCAATTAGATTGTAAACTTCATGACTGTGGAGAAAATGCCTTAATTATCACTGTAACTTACCCATTGCCTTGCCAAATGTTTTGCACGTACTTTAGTATTTTAAGAATATATGATTTCAGTATTGACAGGAGAAATTTGTGCGCTTCTGAAACTGCAGAAGTTTGTGCTAATTATGACTGCAATAGCATTGTGTCAATTGCAACAAACCAGATGATGACAGAACTTCAGCATGCTGGGCTGTCCCATTTTCTCTACAGTTTACAGATAGGATATCTGCAAAAATATCTCTATTTCCTGCAGTATCAATACAAATGAAACACAAAGGACCATGAAGATTTCTCAAGAGTTCATTTTTACCATAGAGGACAAGACAGGAACAAAATTGTTTTCCCTATTGTCTTCTGCCCTAATACAACATTTATAAAGAGTTTATCTAATATGGAATTGTTTTCATCCTGATAATGAATTGTCATAGGCATCCTTCCACTGATGCAGATTACATCCATGCCATGACTTAGTAGAAGGCAGCTAGATGGTGCAGGGGATAGAGCATTGGGCTTAGAATCTGGAAGACTCGTCTTCCTGTATTCAAATCTGGCCTCAGACACTTAGTATCCATGTTACCTTAGGCAAGCCACTTGACCATGTTTGCCTCAGTTTTCTGTCTATTAAATGAGCTGGAGAAGGAAATGGCAAACTATTCCAGAATCTTTGCCAAGAAAACCCAAAAAAAGGGAGTCATGAAGAGTCGGACATAACTGAAACAAGCCAACAACTGCATGAATTAGATGGTCTTCAAAAATCACTGTCACCAAAAAACAAAACAAAACAAAACAAAAACAAACCTACAGTCAGACAACAAAGGCCTCACCAAATGTAACTGAACTGGTCCTGGAGCCTTAGCTGTATGGTTGTCCCACACTTTGTAAGTAGTAGATATGTAATGAGAGGCAGTGTATGCAGTGAATAAAGAGTTGGTCTTGGAGTCAGGACCACTGAAATCAAGGTCCAATTCAGATATATACACACACACACACACACACACACACACACACACACACACACACACGCACACACCATCATGGTGACCCTAGGCAAGTAACATAACATTCAGTTCCTCAGTCAGTACTGTAAGACCTAAGTTGCAGAAGACCTAGATGTTCTGCATTGCTAGAGGAAATTTCCTCCCTAATGTAGTCACATTTGGATCCAAAAACAGTCTGGTATAAATGATGGCTGAATGTCCTCACATATAGAGTGAAAGAATTGGACTGGAGCCAGACTTAACAGAACAAGTTTGGATTCAGTAGAAGGGCCTTTCTTGAGGACCTAGAGGGCCATGTGTGGCCTCAAGGCCGCAGGTTCCCCATCCCTGGACCAGACAATCTCTTGGCTCCCTGAGAGCCAGAAGCTCTATTAGAGCAAGAAATCCTAATGAGAATGTTACATCTAGGATGAGGACCAGGTTAGGCACAGGAGAGATGAAAGACCAACAGGGCTCTGAGATCTGCTCTCCCATTTTGCTTTGCTATGACTGTACACCCTGCCCTAGCCCACCACTGGCTCAGGGGGAGAAATGGAGTCCAGGAAGCCAAAGTCAGAAGCAGCAATTTGGTCTTCAGAGAAAAGAGTTGACATGGGGCCTAATATATTGCGAAATAGGTAATATTGAGGACAAATAATATTTGAGCAGATTACAAAATGGTAAACCACCCTTCTTCACTGAGTCAACATCATCCTCACATCCACTGTACATAGTTTCCTGTCCTTAGACAGCAAATCTATGAAAAGCGATGATGTGTCAGATTCTCCTCAAACATGCCTACCTTGCAGTTTGTCATAAGAATTTCAGTGCAACTTATATTCTCTTTCTGTCATGTCAGATATGATTAGAAAAGTTTTTCTTTCTTAAGGTCCATTACATAAACTAGTGGCAGTTATACACTAAGCACTGCCCTATTTTATAATGATAATAAGACTTGTAAGCAAGAGAACCCATTTTTCTTATTCTATTCAATTTTCTTAGGACTTTCCACTCATTGTGTGCATAGACACTGGGGCATTAATCATGTCATCTTCACTGATACATTTGTTAAGTTATGCCTGCTGACTTTACTGTTTGCCATTCCTGGAAGCAAACAAAAATTTATTTTTATTTTTCTCATATTGATTATATTTAATCCTAACAATCCTAATCTGGTTTTTGGTTATTTAAATCAGCATGGCATTTCCCAGTGATATTGCTTTGCTTTTCCGCACCTTTCACTACCTTAAGCCCATCAGCCATCAATGCTGACTAAGTTGCACAGTGAAAAAGAAGATCATAAAGTAATTTCTGCTTGCAGCTTTTAGGGAAAGTATATCCAGATAGATGAAGAATTCTTCCATCTAGCTAATTGTATATGATAAACTAAAAATTTTCCAGGTGAATTATTCCTGGCTTTGACATTAAAATTTGGGGGGGAGGTGGGAACAACCTTTTGTACTAGGTTATGAATACCAAAGAACTGTTTGACAACTTGTACAGCATTGCTAGTGTTTGGATTTTGTTATTTATCATAGAGCATGAATCAGAATAAAGTATTTGGTGCCTCTTGAAGAAATGCAACTGCTTAACATTCCCTTTTCTAACCTAACAATTCATTCAGAATAAAAATGAGTCAGCCTTATTACAAATGTATTTTGTACAAATATTGGCAAGGAGCCAATATTTGCACTTGTAAAAATAAATAATAAAACTATTTTCCAACATTATTGAGTTTCTCTAGGCAACTGTCTTCTAGATTTTGTCTTCCACTTTCCCACACACGGCTGTGCTTTCTTGCTTCAGAGCCTTACTGAAATTAGATAGCTGATTGATTGCTCCTTTTTCTTCCATTAGCGTTCTCTTCTTCACACATCTTTCACTGATCGACAGCACTAGTTTTATAACCTACACTCTGCATTAGGCTGTTGACTAATGATGGAAGTCACAGAGTTATACTGTGTGAGAATTGATAGGCTTTTTTTCCTTATATTGTCTGAATTCTAGAGGAAGGAATCGCTCTACTACTACCAAAGCAGTCTTATTTTACTTTGTTAGCAGTGAAGAACAACACACAGACATTCGTTTGAGTTATATGGTATAGTCAGTACTTTTCTGATGTGATAAATATATACAGTTGACTCCTATTCTGTTGGTTACTATAAATCCACTAATAAGAATATTAGAGGATTGACTGTTATTCCTCTAAATCTACACTAAAATTATATGTATATATATACATATATACACATATATATGTGCATATATATGTATATATACATATATGTGTATATATGTATATATAACATATACATATATGTGTATATACACACACTCACACACACACATATATATGTATATATATATATATATATGTGTATATACACACACACTCACACACACACACACATATATATATGTATACGTATATATATGTATATATGTGTATATATATGTATATGTGTGTGTGTGTATATATATATATATATATATATATATATATACTTTCTTTTTGGCAGTTGGGGTTAAGTGACTTGCCCAGGGTCACACAGCTAGTAAGTGTCAAGTGTTTGGTCTGAGGCCAAATTTGAACTCAGGTCCTCCAGACTCCAGGGACAGTGTTCTATCCACTGCGCCACCTAGCTGCCCCCTAAAATAATATTATGTTGTAAAATAATGCTAAAATAATACTTTTAAGAAATGTCCTCATTTATGTGACTAAGAAAAAAACCACCTGTAGCCTGTAAACCTGCCTGTCACTTCCCAGAACTTCTTTGGAACACATAAGCATATAAGACTTTGTAGAATTTTTAAATACATCTTAACACCTGCAATTACTATTGGTAGTGGCTACCAAGTGCCATGATAGGACACCACCACTCTGGCCATAATTGATTTCCTTGTCATTTATACATTTATGGGTCATTTATGGTTCACATCCTAGTACACAAAGTTAGGATTTTTTTTCCTCAAAATTTAATGCCAAAGCCAGGAATAATTCACCTGGAAATTTTGCGGCTACATATACAGTTAGCTAGATGGAAAGAATTCTTGTGCCTGGTATATTTTCCCTTAAAATCACAAGCGGAAATTACTTTATGCTTTTCTTCTTCACTTTGTAACTTAGTCAACGCTGATGGTCAAGAGTAGCATCTTTAACCTAAGGCCAAACTTTGCAAATAGGAGGTGATTGTCAAAGAAATTATTGACACACCGTATTGACTAGTATATTATTATCTTTTAAACATTGTTAAAGGCATCCCATGGCATAACTAAAAGGACAGATGTAAGACATATGCATAAACAAATTCCCCAAACCATCTGAAACTTTGGATTGGTGTAGTTTGCTAATTGGTCAGGATTTTTTTCACTCTAAATCCCCAGGTATTCTCCAGTCATCCTTCTTCAACAGCATGCTCACAGAATTTGTGACATATTGAAGGTACACATTTCAATATCAACCTTCAGTTTTACCCATTCCAGGGTCTGGAATATTCTTCATAGAAACTAGGGTAGAAATATAGATTTGCTGACACCATTTATCCCAAGCTGTCCTAGAATTGGTTGGAATTGCTAGCTTGAAATGTGTCAAACTAGCTTTTCCTTAGCTGGAGTTACTAAAACCATTCCATGTGTTTTTCAGAAAAGTAGCATTTCTAGAAAGACATCCTAGATAAATTAAGACCAAGTTTCTTACCTGTCAGAATTTGTACTTTAGGGGGAAAAGTCTGGCTTCAGATCAATAGACTGCTATCATTTGTAAAGAAGGTGAATGAGAATATACAGAAATGTTTTGGTGTTGTAATGAATGGTATACATCATGTAATTTTTAACATTAAAAAATTATTCCTTTTTTTTCAGTACAGTTGAATGATTGAATTCTATCAAAGGAAGAATTACATGAATTCAGCTTCCCAAAACAACACTGGTGACAGGTGAGAGTCACTTATATGTTAATAAAAATAAAACGATAGCAGTTGTTACACTGTCATCTGTGGTAAATATGATCTTATAAATAATAGTCTAATGATATGTATGACAAGTCAAGTCAACAAACATTTATTAAGTATCTGCTATGTGCCAGGCACTGTTCTAAATTTTGGGAACACAGAAAAAAGGACCCAAAAATATCTCACACACACACACACACACACACACACACACACAAACAGTCCTTGCCATCAGAGAGCTTATAGTCCAATAAGGGAGATAACATGTAAACAATTATTACAAGTAAGATATATACTGAATAAACTAAAGATAATCTCAGAGGGAAAGAACTAAGGCAAAGGAAGCCTGGGAAAGGCTTCTTGATTTATGTATACCTATGTAATAAAATGTTATTTCTAGTAAATTAGCCTTTAAAAATAAGTATTTCATGCTAATGAGCTTTTTATACCATATGATACATTGTACTAACAAATGTAGTGCTTTTATTAATAGTTAATAGAGTCTATAGTAATTTAAGTGATATTTTAATTTTGCCCCTAGTAAAAGTTTATATGTTTCATTATACTTCATGATTATTAGGACTTACCAAATGCTGCTAATGGGAGCGAAATGTTGACTTTATGTTTGTGTATAATTAGAGAATCATTCATCTGATTGTGTTTTCTCAATTTATCTTAAGCCTGTCATTGTCCAGTAGAAGAGGTAATCCACATAGATTATTTCATCCCTGGGTTTTGATTAAAGACATATAGCAAAGAAGAAAGTATGTGATATGAAAACCTGTCCTTTACATTCAGCTTAATAATGATGACCATTCCTGACAGAGTTCTGAAGCAGAATAATGGGAGAGTGATATGTGTTAATGGGGGATGAGGATGGGGATGTTTTAGGGCATGAACTATTTATAGTTCTGTCTAATTATCTGTCTAATATTATAAAAGAGAGAAAAGGACTTACATGTGCAAAAATATTTGTAGCAGACCTTTTCATTATGGCAAAATATTGGAAATTGAGGGGACTGTCTAACTCTTCTAATTTTTAGTAATTAGGAAGCAAACTCTGAGAAGAAAAAAGATTGTAGGCATGGTGAAGTCAAGAGGAAACTGTATTTCTAACAGCATGGTAGAAAGTTCTTTGCCCTAAATGTCCATCTCACAAATGCTGAGTTAGAATTAGGTAGTTATTCGAAAAGAAGTTGAAGGGGAAAAAAATCATCCTCCATGTAGTAATGCTCAGCCTTAATTTGCTATGAGCCATGCTTTTCACCTATTTAAATCCTTGGATGGATCCATGAGTTCAGTGGTATTGGTATTTCCTCCACCATGCAGATGGTGTGCAGACTTCTAATCCTGTGCAGTTCTTATACACATATTTCTGTCAATCCTCAGAAGAGAATCTACTGAATATTTTTTTGAAGGCCATTCATTGGTCCTTTTAATAACTTTATGGCACTGGTGTAGCACTTGGGACTTGTACCATTTTAGAGTTTTGCTTTTGTTTTGCCAAGGTAATTGGGGTTAAGTGACTTGCCCAGAGTCACACAGCTAGTGAGAGTCAAGTGTCTGAGACCAGATTTGGACTCAGGTGCTCCTGACTCCATGGTTGGTGCTTTATTCATTGCACCACCTAGCTGCCCCGACTTATACCATTTTAGAAGTAGCTTGGTGCAATGGATAGAGCACTGGGCCTGGAGTCAGGATTCTCAGTGGACCTCCTGATCTGATCAGTTATCAACACTGTCTCACTCTCTAAATTATCTTATACTTTGCATTTACTTACTTGTATATATGTACACAAATTCTGTCACCTCCCATAGAATGTAAGCTCGAATGCTAGAGATTTTTTTTTGTCTTTTTAATAGTATTTTATTTTTTCCCCAATTATATATCAAGACAATTTTCAGCATTCATTTTTATAAGAGTTAGAGTTTCAAATTTTTCTCCCTCCCCTCCTCCACTCCTCTCTTCTTATAATGGTAGGCAATTTGATATACATGTGCTATCATGTAAAACATATTTCCATGTTAGTCCAGTTGTGAAAGAAGAAACAGATTAAAATTTAAAAAAAAAAACAAGAAAAGAAATAGTAAGTATGCTTCTATCTGCATTCAGAGTCCATCAGTTCTTTATCTGGATGTAGATAGCATTTTCCTTCATTAGTCCTTTGTACTTATCTTGGATCATTGTGTTGCTGAGAAGAACAGCTGAGTCATTCATATTGATCATCACACAATGTTGGTGTTACTGTGTACAGTGTTTTCCTGGTTCTGCTCATTTCACTTTGCATCAGTTTATACAAATCTTTCCAGGTTTTTCTGAAATCTGTCTGTTCATCATTTTTTATTGCACAATAGTATTCTATTGCACTCATATACCACAGCTTGTTCAGCCATTCCCCAATTGATGGGCATCCCCTCAATTTCCAATATTTTGCCACAACAAAAAGGGCTGCTATAAATATTTTTGCACATATAGGTCCTTTTCCATTTTTTATGATCTCTTTGGGATACAGACCTAGTAGTGCTATTGCTGGATCAAAGGGTATGTGCAGGTTGGTTATCCTTTGGGCATAGTTCCAAATTGCCCTCAGAATGGTTCAATCAGTTCACAACTCCATCAACAATGCATTAGTGTCCCAGTTTTCCCACATTTTCTCCATTTATCAGTTTCCTTTTTTGTCATATTAGCCAATCTGATAGATGTGAGATAGTACCTCAGAGTTCTTTCAATTTGCATTTCTCAAATGAAAAGTGATTTAGAACACTTCTTCATATGCCTATAGATAGCTTTGATTTCTTCATCTGAAAACTGCCTGTTCATATCCTTTGACCATTTATCAATTGGAAATGGCTTGTTTTCTTATAATTGGTCTCTGTATATTTGAGGAATTGGGCCTTTATCAGAGACACTTGCTGTAAAGATTGTTTCCCAGCTTTCTGCTTTCCTTCTAATCTAGGTTGCATTGGTTTTGTTTGTGCAAAAGATTTTTGATTTAATATAATGAAAATTATCTATTTTATATTTTGTAGTGCTCTCTATCTTTTGTTTGGTCATGAACCCATAACTTACTTAACTTCTCCTTTAAGAATTTGGATGCTCTACCACTTGTGCATATATGTTTAGCATGGATACTGCTTCATTGTCTATGGTACCTTTTAGCAAGATACAGTTTCCTTCCTTATCTCTTTCAATTAGATCTATTTTTGCTTTTGCTTTGTTTGAGATCAGGATTGCTGCCCCTGCTTTTGTTTTACTTTAGCTGAAGCATAATAGATTTTGCTCTAGCCCATTACTTTACTGTGTGTGTCTCTCTGCTTCAGGTGTATTTCTTGTAAACAACATATTTGTAGGATTCTAGTTTTTGATCCACTGCCATCTGCTTCCATTTTGTGGGAAAGTTCATCCCCTTCACATTCACAGTCATAATTACTGTGTATTTCTCTGCATCCTCTTTTTCCTCCTGTTTGGCCACTTTCTTCTTTCGCTCTTTCCCTCCAGGACAGTGTTTTGCTGCTGTTTACCATCTTCCTTGGTCTGCCCTCTTTTCTATCAGCACCCCCTCCCTTTTACTTAACTTTCTCTCCTCCTACTTTCCTGTTGGGTGAGATAGATTTCTATATTCAATGGGTTGTGTATAGTGTTCCCTCTTTCAGCCAGTACTGAAGAGAGTAAGGTTCAAGTTATGCCCATCGCCCTCTGATTCTTCCCTCCACTATAATAGGTTTCGTGAGCCTCTTCATGTGAAATAATTTAGCCTATTCTACCTCTCCCTTCCTTCTGCACCCAGTGTACTCCTCTTCCTCATCCCTTACTTTTTTTTATGTCATTCTCTCAAATTATACCTGTACCACCTGTTTATGTATATTCCTTCTAACTGTATTGTTAGTGGCACAATTTTTAAGAATTACAAGTGTCATCTTTCCCATGTAGGGATGCAAATAGTTCAGCTCCATGGGATCCCTTATGTTTTCTTTTCCCTTTTTAGGCTTTTCTTGGGTCTTGATATTAGAGATTGAATTTTTTGTTCAATTCTGGTCTTATGAAAGCTTGAAATCCTTCTATTTCATTGATTGACCATTTTTTTCCTTTGAAGTATTATGCTTAATTTTGCCCAGTAAGTGATTCTTGGTTGCGGTCCTAGCTCCTTTGCCTTCAAGAATATCATGTTCCATGATCTTCAGTCCTTTAATGTTGCACCTACTGTCTTGTGTGATCCTGATTGTGGCTCCCTGATATTTGAATTGTTTCTTTTTGGCCACTTGCAGTATTTTTTCCTTGACCTGATAGTTCTGAAATCTGGCTATAATGTTCCTTGGAGTTTTTATTTTGGGACATCTTTCCTGAGGTGAACAGTGGATTCTTTTAATATCTGTTTTGTCCTCTAGTTCCAGGACACCAGGGCAGTTTTCCTTGATAATTTCTTGAAAGATACTGGCCAGGTTCTCGTTTTGATTATGGCTTTCAGGTAGTCCATTGATTCTGCTATTGTCTCTCCTAGATCTATTTTCCAGGTCAGTTATTTTTCCAATGAGGTATTTTACATTTTCTTCTACTTCTTCATTCTTTTGAATTTGTTTGATTGATTCTTGATGTCTCATAGAGTCATTAGTTTCCACTTGCCCAATTGTAACCTTTTTTTTTTTTTTTGCTAGGCAATGGGGTTACATGACTTGCCCGAGGTCACTCAGCTAGTAAGTGTTATGTGTCTGAGGCCGGAATTGAACTCAGCTCCTCCTGAATCCAGGGCCAGTGCTCTATCCACTGTGCCGCCTAGCTGCCCCTCATTTCTAACTTTTAAGGAGTTGTTTTCATCAGTTAGCTTCATACATCCTTTTCCATTTGGCCAATTGTACTTTTTAAGGGGTTATATACTTCAGTGGATTTTTGTATCTCCTTTTCCATTTGGCCAATTCTACTTTTTAAGCAGTTGTTTTCTTTTTCCACGATATTGATTCTTTTTTTCATAATTCTCTTGCATCACTCTC